ACGAGGTTAGGGAGTCCTCGTTGAGCGTCGCCCGCGTGCTCGGCACCACTAACAGTCGCTTCATAGGTTGTAGCTGCTCGGCAGCCCCTCAGGACATGGGTGACATACGACGCCGTAGAGTACTGCACGCCGGACATCCTCATTGTGGCGAGAAAGTCGCCGCGCCCGGTTGCAGTAGTCTGTCGCTATCCTGGTCGCCCATCCGCAGATGCGTCATCTGCTCCTTGAGCTGGCCGATGTACAGGTCGTTGGTGACTTGGTACGTCGACTCGATGAAGTGCCACGCCTGGTGGCCAGTGTCCAAGTAGTGTCCCTGCACGGCTTCAAGGCGATCTGCACGCCCGGCGAGCAGCACCGCGAAGATGACCGTGAAGGTCAGCAACTGCACAAGGCAAAACTCTGCACGCAGTTCGGGGTAGTGCTCCGACGGCGTCGCCATGGTGCCGCGGGCAAAGCCAATCATCCTGGCCATCTCCAGCTGGGGCTCGATAGCTTCCTCCCATGTGAGAATGTTGGGTCGACCGACCAGCAGGGGGGTGACCGAGATCCTGCCCGGCGGAAACTTGAAAGTAGCCGTAGCTCGGTGCTATCCCGCCTGCTGTCACGTGGGTCGCGGACATCGGCGACAATCCACTTCGCCGACCTCCGACGTCACCTTGCGAGGAGCCTGCAGCCGCCGACGACCACATCCCTCGCGCTCTGAACGTCGCTGACTTCATTGGCGTGTATCACACCTCGCTGCCTCGACGTGCCTCCCGCAACTGCTGCCGACTTGGTCACCACCAGCGTTGATGCCCACGTCAACGCCGCCTTCGTCGTTCACCGATCGAGGAGAGGCTGATCGAGCAGGGTGCTATTCCGCCCACATCGATCGAATGCCTGCCTCGATGACCGCCAATGGTAGGTTGGCCTGTACTCATTGGCCTCATGGTGTCTCCTCGCATCCTCCAGCCGTGCCTCCAGGGGTGTCCACCACTCCTGCGTCACCTACGACGCCTACCATAGTGACTACCGCACAGCTGCCGGCCTACAAACGCGAGTTAGGTAAGTGACAATTACGTTGACTTGACTGAAAAGGAAAGTCGTGTGCCTTCCACGCTCACTGCACCATGCGGAGATAACTCAATCAACGGGAGCTATGCTACGGGCTAGGCACGGGTGCTCATGTGATCTCTGTGTTCGTTCTTTCCTTATTCATTTCCAAGTGCTCACACTACTTGCTAGTTCACGGGGAGAATTGCAAGAGTTTTATGAGGAAAACATGACAAACAATGATAGCAACAACATTGGCATGCAAGACTACATCAGACCTAGCAAAGCTGCTGGTCGACTTCCAGCACAGCACGGTCGACCGCATGCTAGCACGACTTGGTCAACCGCGCTCCAGCAGAGCAAAGTCGCAGCTTTCCAACGTTGCAAGTCCACGGTGTGCCAACGCTGCAGCAAGTCGGCTGCACAACGTTTGCACCCGCAGGAAAACGGTGCACCTACTTCCCAAATGCGTGCAGCTGGTTGGTGCGCCGCTCCTCGTCACGGGCACAGCGCAGACGCCCGGCAGAGTCTACGCCAGCGTCTGCGCCCACCAGCCACGTCGACCTCCGGGATACCACCCCCGAGGTCGGCCTCGCTGAAACAACCCCGGCAACCTTCGCACACGTCACCCCGGGTATCCCAGTCGACCGAGCAACCCCGCCTGGTCGACCAGCTCAGCCCGTCGCCAACCACCCATGACTGGCGTTCCCTATGTCGGCTCCAGCTGGTCGTACACCCGGCGTCCTCCCATGTCGACCCACTTGCCCGGCGCCATCTTCCTCAGTGCCCTGTTACTCGGCGCCCAGCTCCCCTGTCCAGGTCGACGTCGGCGCCCCCTTCGTCGACCACCACAACTGGCGCCCAGAAGTTGGCGCCCTTGCAGTGGCCCCCGTGCAGGTCGACCATCCTCGTCGACCAGCTCGACCCACTGCTGCAGGTCGGCTGCACCCTTCACACCCGATCACGAGGTCGGCTCCGCCCAAGCGAGGACGGGGCCTACCACAACTCCCGTTGACAAGACGGACAGACTGAGCACGTGAACCAGACCTTGGAGAAAAAATTTCGCAGCATCACGATGCACGACGCACCCGCATGGGACAAGAAGCTGAGCATGGAAGAGTTCGCCTACAACAACACGCACCACTCCGCCACAGGCATGTCATTGTTCTTCGCACTGTATGGTTATCACCCCAATGTCCCCACTCGTGTCGATCTCACACCCACTGTCCCTCGTGCGGACAATTTCCACCATCTCACCTTCATTCACGACCATGTGAGGAAGCACCTTGAGCTCGCAAATGCACGCATGGCACACACCACCAACCGCAGTCGTCGTGAGGTGTCGTTTGCAGTCGGCGACCGTGTCCTTTTGGATAGCCGCATCCTCCGACTGCCACAGGACAGCAAGCTTCGCCCTCGTTTCATTGGTCCATTTGACATTGAGCGCGCACTTGGTCCAGTCGCATACCGCCTCCGCCTTCCCGCTCATTTCCCGCGTGCACTCGTCATTCCACGTGTCTCTCCTTCGTCCATACACCGATCCCAATCCCACCTTCTCGGGCCGTGATCGCACTCCACTGCCGGTAGCTGTTGACACCGACGAGCCCGACTACCAGATCCAGCGCATCCTTAGGCACCGTCGCCGTCTCCAGGGGGGTGTCTCTTTCACTGACTTCTTGGTTCGTTGGCGTGGTTACGATGCAGCCGACGACAGCTGGGTTCCTTCGTCCTCGCTGTCTTCTGACAACGCTTGCCTGAAAGCGTACCTTTAGTCTGCAGGCACCGTGGACGTCGCCTCCTTGGGAGGGGGGTAGTGTTACGGTTTACTGCTCAATCCCTTTGGGTAGTTCACCCGAAACAGTCCCCCAACCTAATCCCAACCTTATCTCCATCCAATCCCTTTGGGATTTCTTTGATTTCCTAGTGCCACGTGGCACTCTAGCTTTGTTGCCTTCTACTTTCTAGTCCCACGAACTACTTTCCGACATTCGCTCTTGCATGCTATATCAACCTTGCTTGTACTTGCCATTATCAACCAATTCTCATTAATCCATCACTCAGTAACTTCTTCGCCTATTTCGCTAATAGTTCTTTCGCCAAAGTCTTCTGCGCGTTTCATCCTCGACTTAGTCAACCCCGCTATTCTTTAGCGGATTTAGGCCAAGGGGCCTAACACAACCTTACAGCACAACTGATGTAGAGAAGTTTAGTAGAAATAATGAAATAAATATAGTAATCATTCAAAATACCACAATAAAGCCTTTTACCCACATAAGCCCCCCATAGGTGCATTTATTCGGCGGTCTGTATATACCGGTACTAAGGATTATGGTATACTTTTTCACCCAGCTCTGACTGGGATGCAATTTTTTTTGGGAGAGCACTGATCAATCAGAGTGGCCTGAATCCAATCTGAGGGACATGCAGTGGCTGTGGCAGTACTTTCAGCTTTTGGGCAAGTGCAGCAGTGGGGTGCAGCAGTGGGGTGCAGCAGTCACAGCTCCTAGTCACTTGGCCCAGCTGTCAGGGAAAACCGCTTGGCCGCACTGGCACACTCCCCTCGCCTGCACACATTCATTCAAGCACCCGCAACCTCGTCGCTGCTGCTCTGGCAGCCTCGCCGCGCATTCACTCCATCGGCAAATCGCCGTGCCGTGCCCCCTTCCCGCCCTCCAGCCCCCCCCTGCTGCACGCCCACCGCGCCTGGTGCAGCCGCCCCCAGCAGCGCGTGCAGGGCGGAGGTGGGCGGCGGGCGGTAGGGCGTGGGGGGCAGGGGGGTAGGGTCGAAGACTGGCAGGAAGTGGATGGCGTAGGCAGAGGTGTTGGCCTGGGGAGGGTGGAGGCGAGGAGGGGCAGCAGGAGCAACGGGAGGTGGGAGGGGCGGAATGGGGGGATGGAGATGGATGGGCTAGCAGGTGAGAGAACAGACAATGCATGTGATGCCTGATCATGTATAGCAGCATGTGGGGCAGCCTGAGCATGTGGGGCGGCACTCACCTCGGCATGCAGCATGTCGAGCAGCACGGGTGGGATGGGGTCGGGGTGGGACGGCTGCTCCACACACATGCTCACCACACGCTGCAGCAGCGGCGCTGGGATGGTGGCGTACACCTGCATGGGGGGGCATGGTGGCGCACATGCCATGGGTTGAGCAAAACAGGTGACAAACTGACGTGCACATGCCATGGGTTGAGCAAAACAGGTGACAAACTGACGTGCACATGCCATGGGTTGAGCAAAACAGGTGACAAACTGACGTGCACATGCCATGGGTTGAGCAAAACAGGTGACAAACTGACGTGCACATGCCATGGGTTGAGCAAAACAGGTGACAAACTGACGTGCACATGCCATGGGTTGAGCAAAACAGGTGACAAACTGACGTGCACATGCCATGGGTTGAGCAAAACAGGTGACAAACTGACGTGCACATGCCATGGGTTGAGCAAAACAGGTGACAAACTGACGTGCACATGCCATGGGTTGAGCAAAACAGGTGACAAACTGACGTGCACATGCCGTGGCTGTACAGGCACGAGGCACAGCGTGCACGAGAGCGATGCAGTAACACTGTCATCCACTCTCACTGCTCACCCCTCTCCACCCCCCATTCCTCTCATCCCTCGCGCCCCTCACGTCACGTCCCTCTCTTCGCTCACACTGCTCTCCCCACCAATGTCGTCCCCCCTGCCCCCGCACCTGGCGGCGCACAGGGCGGTCGCAGAGAGCCTTCTTGGGCAGCAGCAGCACGTGGGCCAGCGCGCGCAGCAGCGGGAAGCACTCCGCCCGCCCACCGATCAGCTGCTGCACCAAACCTCTCCCCTCCTCCCCCTCCCCCTCGCGCCCTCCCAGCAGCAGCAGCGCCGCGGGGTCATACCCTCTCTGACCCGTGCCCCCTTCACACCCAGCAATGCTGCGCGCCACTGCATCTCCCATGGCGTCACCGCCTGTCACCGCTCTCCACCCCTCTCCCTGCCCCACCAGTCCATTTCCGCATCCCGGCTTTTCTGCCCCGCCCTGCCCCTCTGCGCCCTCTGGCCAATCAAAGAGCTCCAGCTGGCCCGCCCAGAAGCGAGCGGAGGAGAGCAAGGAGAGCGGGACGGTGGGCGGGGGGAGGATGGGCGATGGGGGGTAAGCGTGCGCAGCAGTGGCGGCATGCTGCGTGGCAGCAGCAGCGGCGGCGGCGGCATGGCAGTGTGAGGAGACGTGTGCGTCCATGTCTGCAAGGAACTCACTCCACTCCGACACCTGGAGCCGTGCCGTGGGGTGCCGTGGTGGTGGTGGGGGGGTAACAGAGGGCACAGAGGCATGGCGGAAAGGCACGAACACATTGAGGGTACATGAGGATACTGGGGCAGTGGCAGCCAGGGATGGGTCTGGATGGCAGCCAGGGATGGGTCTGGATGGCAGCCAGGGATGGGTCTGGATGGCAGCCAGGGATGGGTCTGGATGGCAGTGAGGGATGGGTCTGGATGGCAGTGAGGGATGGGTCTGGATGGCAGTGAGGGATGGGTCTGGATGGCAGTGAGGGATGGGTCTGGATGGCAGTGAGGGATGGGTCTGGATGGCAGTGAGGGATGGGTCTGGATGGCAGTGAGGGATGGGTCTGGATGGCAGTGAGGGATGGGTCTGGATGGCAGTGAGGGATGGGTCTGGATGGCAGTGAGGGATGGGTCTGGATGGCAGTGAGGGATGGGTCTGGATGGCAGAGGTCATGCGAGGCTGGCATGTGTGCAGGCAATCGCAATCCCCTTGTGTTTCAGTCATCCCCCTTATAGATTATTTCAGCAATCCCCCTTACAACGTGTTTCAGCAATCCCCCTTACAGTGTGTTTCAGTAGCCCCCCTTGGCCGGCCCAGAAGCGGCCATTGGCGGGGAACGGCAGGGCGGCAGGTTCGGTGAGAGGATCGGCAGCAGGGTCGGTGGAGAGCACGTCGTTACCGGAGCGCAGCAACGCGTTGAACAGAGCCGCGTCTAGCCGCTGCTGGCACTGCTGCAGCACCTGAGGGGCGGTGGTGGGGGGGAGGAGTGGGGGAGGGGGAGGAAGAGGGGGAGGGGAAGGGGGAGTGGATGAAACGGGGGGTTGCATGAGGTGGAGCAGGGAAAGGGATGGGAAGAGGGGGACCAAGGCGGTAGGCTTTGAAAGCAGACGTGCCAAAGCAGAGTGGCATGGCGTCAGAGAGGAATTGAGGGGATGGATGAAACAGGATGATGGGTGACGGGGTATGGAAAGGAGTGGAAATGCGGCAAGGGCGAATTGGGGTGAGGGTAAGAAAATGAAAAGGGGTAGACGAGTAGAGGGCAAGGACAAAACAAGCGCTGTGAGGTGGAAGGCAAGTCGTGGTGGTGGTGCACTCAAAATTGCCATAACACCAAAAGAAGGGGGTATGGAGGTGCTTGCTTTAGTAGCGGGTAGAGGCAGCACTGACCTGCTTGAAAAGCGGGTAGAGGCAGCCGCAGTGGTGCCCCATGGCCCTGTGAGGGCACAGCATGGCAGCCGCCTCGTGCATCACCGCCACCCACCGCTCTGTACCACTCAGCCCCGCCCACCAGGGCGCCTGCACTTCCTCCGCTGCACATATGGGGAGATGGAGAAAGGGGAAGATGGGGACACAGGGAGAGGGGAAGAGGGGGAAAGGGAGAGGGGGGAGAAGAAGCGGGCCTCACGGGCTATTGGGTGACGTGCAGTGCTAGGGGCTGATTGGGGTGAGCGCTATCAGGATGGGGGTGAGCGGGCGAAATGAGTCTAGAGCGAAGCAAAGGAGCTAACAAAGTAACAAACATGAGTTGATGTGAAAGAGACGTGCACAGAGCGAGGCATGCATGGAGACTTGAGAAGCGCAGTTAGATTTGCGCGTGGAATCAATGGAATGGACTCCAAGCAAATAGCTGCCTACAGTAGCCCTGGCCCAAAGAGATTCGGAGGTACGTCTGGGATGATCAGCAGAGACAAGGGCACCAACTAGCCAGCAGCAGTGAGACGTTTAGAAGGAAATAATGAGAGGGGCAAAAAGAGAGGACTCTCAGATTGAAGGGAGAAGATGAGTCACCTCTGAGTGGGGGTGGCGGGGGCGTGGGGGCGGAGAAGGGCCAGAGGTACGACTGCTGGCAGGCAGAGGTGGCGCACAGCAGGGCGGAGGACCAGGCGGGGGTGAAGGGAGGGGTGTGTGATGGCGGGTGGAAGGGAGGCGGCAGCACAGGGGGGCGCTGCTGCATGGCTGGCAGGAAGACACGTGTCCACACCAGCTGCAGACACCTGTTGTGCTGCCATTGCTCCAGCTGCAGCAGCTGCGACTCAAGGTGCGCCAAGCTGCCCCACGGGTCCTCAGGCCGCTCTGGGTGCTCCGGGTGCTCTCCCCGGTCGTCATGACCTGTGCCAGGCCAGCATGCACCACCACCATTCGCAGCAGCAGCACCACTCCCAACACCACCACCAGCCGCCCCTCCTTCACCTGTGGCCGCCTCACCCTTCTTCCCCTCCCCTTTCCTCCTCTGCTCCTCCGCCACCAGGGGTGCCAGGGCGGAGCGCAGCATGGCCGTGTTGGACCACCAGAAGAGCAGCCGAGATGCGTTGTCGCTCGCCGCCCGGGCTGCCAGGAGCAGAGCGCGCATCACCTCCCTCGCCACGCCTGCCACCTGCTCCCCTTTCAACCCACGCGCCTTGCCCACCACTCCTCGCTGCTCCCTTCGCTGTCCCTCTTCCACCACCATCCCTTCCGTGCTTGCACTCCACCCTTGCCATGCATTCCCCTTTCCCTCCTCCCCTCCCCTGTGCCCGCCCTCCTCTCGCCCCTCGGCCATTTCCCCCACTTCGCCCCACAAATCCTCCTTCTCCACCCCCCGCTCCCTCCTCCGCCCCCTCACCCGTACCGCCCCGCCATGCCACGGCCACCACGCGTGCCAGGCGCATGGCGGGGGTGTGCAGGCGCTGCACGGGCGACCCATGCCGGCCCGCCACACCATGCACTGCCCGCGCCACGCCACTCCCACTCCGCACCTCCCACGGCATCTTCCCGAACCTCCTCTCCGCGGCCTGCGCCCGCTCCTCAGCCTCGGCAGCCCGAGCCAGAGCGCCAGCCACGGAGGCGCGGTCGTGAGCGAGGCGCTGCTTGGTGGCGGCGAGGAGGTGGGCGGAGGAGGCGAGGTGGCAGCGCAGCGAGTGCGTGTGCGCTGCCACGTGCCCTGTGGCCGTGGCGGCGGCGCTGGCCTGTGCTCGCAGGGCGGCCGTGGCGGCGTCCTGCGCTGCAATGTGGTGCTGGCAGGCGCGGTGGCGCGCCTCAAAGGGCGCCAGGCGCTGCTTGTCCGCCTCCACCTGTGGTGGGCGCACGTGGGGGGCTTCACTCATACTGTTGGCCTCCACCAATCAGTTGTATCTTAACAAAGGTTGGGACTCAATTCCAGACCAGGGGAAACTGCAGTTGTAAACGCAAAGTAAATCTGGGGGCTTGCTCTCTGAAGCTCGTCTATCTTTTCTCACACAACTATGACTCTTCTCGTCTATCTTTTCTCACACAACTATGACTCTTCTCGTCTATCTTTTCTCACACAACTATGACTCTTCTCGTCTATCTTTTCTCACACAACTATGACTCTTCTCGTCGCTGACAGCCGCAAGCAGCTCTCACCATCTTTATTAAGCAGCTCTGACTCACTGCCATCCTCACCTTTCGCTTCTCCTCCTGCAGCCGCTGCTGCTCCTCCTGCGCCCACTGCTTGAAGCGTGCCACCTCACCCTGCACGCGTTGCACCTCGCCCCTCTCCTGCTCCACCAGCTGCCGCTCCTTCCTCACCCGCCTCCACTCCATTCGCATTTGTGCCGCCTCCTCGCCCTCCCCATCGCCATCGCTCTCTGAGTCCTCCCTACCTTCCCGATCTTCTCCTCCGGCCTCCTCCGCACCACCACCTTTTTCTCTCTCCCCGTCCCCTCCACTCGCATACTCGCCACTGCCCCCCCTCTCCCCCCCCCCCTTCCCTCTCCACCACCTCCCGCGCCACAGCCAGCACGCTGAACCTCCTCCTCCGCCGCCCACCACCGCCACCACGCGCCCCTCCCGCCACTACCCTTGGCGTGGCGGCGGCGCCCAGCAGTGCATCATCGACGCCCTCCACCTCGTCAAACCGCCCCGAGCTGTACGGCCCCGGCACGCGCCGCAGCGCTGCCAGCACCTCACGCGCGGTCAGGGCGGAGTGGCTGCCCGCGCCCCCTGCTGCTGCTGACGCCTCCCCTGCATGCATGCTGCCTGGCAGCAACCCCCGGTGCCCCACGGACGTGAACGCCCGCATGCCCCTCCCTCCTCTCTCCCCCTCTGCAGTGCGCGGCCTCCCACCACTCTCAGCAGCACCGGAGGGCGCGTGCCAGTCGGGCGGCAGCATGAAGGGGCGGCGCGCACACGCAAAGCCCAGGGCGCGCGCAGAGGGCGGGGGGGCGGGCGAGTGCGGCGCTGAGAGGGTGCCGGGGGAGGGCGGAGAGACGAGGGGGAAGGGCGCTGTGGGGGGGCGCGGTGTGTGTGGGTCTGAGAGCGAGCGGTGCAGGAGAGGAGGCGAGGGGGGGGTGCCGGTGTGTGGCAGTGAGGGCAGAGGTGGGATGTGCGGCAGAGGAGTGAGGTGGGAGAGAGCCTGAGTGACCAGCTGTTGCAGGTGGTGCATTCACCACAGCTGATGGCACTTGGCCCTCCTCACTGCCTGCACCTCCCTTCCTGGCCACATCGTGACACTCCCCCACCCCCCACGCCCCCATGCCTGCCTGCTCTGCTACAGAAAGTGGCGGTGCCAGCAGCACCCTCAGCTTGCTCCTCAGCTCCGCCACCGCTGCTGCCTGCTGTGCACCACGTGGCGCGTGCTCATTGGACAGGGAGGCAGGGGATCCTGCTGACATGGCAGGCGACCCTGCTGACGTCACAGGAGAGCCAGCTGACATGGCAGGGGAAGCGGAGGCGAGGGCAGTGGGAGCAAGGTGCAGCAGAGGGCGAGGGACGGTGGAGGGGACAGCTGGGTCATGGGCAAGTGCAGTGGGGTGGGACATGTGAGTGCCGGCAGCAAGAGCGGGGGCTGCGCCTGCTGATGGTGGCACTGCTGCCACGTGCTCCCTCCCCTGCATGCCCCCCTCCCCTCCCTGTGCCATGTGCTCTGCGTGAGCGGGCGGCCAGGGCACATCGTCAGACCCACATGTCCTTAAAGCAGCAGCAGCAGCGGTGGCAGGTGTGGTATGAATGCTGCCCGTGGTGGCAGCGCGTGGAATATCCACCATGGCAGGTTGTGCTGCCACCACCGCTCCCGCTGACTGCTGCACCGCTGCTGCCACCGCCCCTCCCCCAGCTGCCTGCCTCATGCCCTTGTTGCTCTGCCGCTTCCTCCCACTCTCATCCGCTGCACCAGCAGAAGGGTCAGCAGGAGGGGCAGGAGAGGAGGTAGAGGGGCGGGGGAGAGTGGCCAGGGCGACAGCAGCAACGGGATGTATCAGGCGGGAGGACGAGGAGAGGGGAGAGCGGTGCAGAGCGGTGGTGGATTCTGGAGAGCCTCCTGTGGGGTTGTGGGCGAGCCTGAGTGTGGCAAACTCCCCCCCCGCCAGCGAGTGCGGGCGGCGGCTGTGTGCTGCCTTGCGCGCCCTCTGAAGAGGGGGGGGGAAGGGGCAGGGAGAGGGAGGGGAGGGGCAGGGAGAGGGAGGGGAGAGGGGGGGGGAAGTGGTAGGGTGAGACGATGGCGGGGGAGAGGGGGAGAGGGGGAAGCAGGATGCAAGGGGGCCGATGATGGGTGGAAGACGGGTATGGAGCGTGGTGTGGTGTTGGGAGATGCCACCCGTCCTGCATGCCAGCACCACACCACTCATTCCCTTAGCCAACTCTCCATGCCTCCACCTCTCCCTCCCCCACTCTTCTCCCTCATTTCCCTCAACCCTTCCCCCTGTTGTCATGCTTTCCCCCCACCCTTCCCAACTCTTCCACAACAATTTCACTCCGCTCCCCTCTCCGTCCCTCCTTCTCCCTCTCCCAACCATGTGCCACTCACCAGCAGGTCGCGATGGGAGGGTGGGCGCGCGGCAGGAGGGGACGACGCAGTGTGAGGGGGGTGGCAAAGGGGGGAATCCGCAGAGGCAGAGGCAGGAGGGGAAGGAGCAGAGGCGGGGGGGAAAGGGGCGGTGGCACTGCAGGGAGGCAGAGCGACGGCGAGGGGAGAGGTGGTGGAAAAGAGGGTGGAAGGGGGCGAGATGCCTGGGGATGGCCCTGTGCCTGTGCCTGCCATGCACTGAGAAGTAGCAGGGGCAGCAGGGGCAGCAGGGACAGGCGACACAGGCAGGGGCGTGGGAAGGTGCGGCTGCAAGCCCAGGTGCGGCTCCAAGGGCATGGACTGGCACAGCGGGCCGGGTGTGGCAGCGAGCACATGTGGGAGGGCATGAGCCGGTGCCACGTTCCTTGCGCCGTCCAGGTCGCCCCCTCTCCCCGCCGCTCGGTACAGCTCTGCCAGCGATGTGGCCCTCACCTGCCTGTGCACCACTGCCACCTGCCCCACCTGCTGCTCCCACCCATCATCCTCCACTGCCCCGTTAGCCCCGCTGTCTGCTTCTGCTGTCGCTGCTGTGCCTGCTGCTGCCTTGGCTGCGGCCGCCTCTCTCCTCTGCTGTAGCTCTGCCTCAATCTGCCTCATGCCTCGCGCCCTCTCCTTGCCACTCCCACCCGCTCTTTCCTTGCCACTCCCACCCGCCCTCTCCTTGCCACTCCCACCCGCCCTCCCCTTGCCACTCCCACGCACAGTCTTCCCAAACTCACCAGCAGCCACCCCCACTGCAGCAGCAGCAACAGCAGCAGGGGTGGCGTGGGATGGTGGCGCTTCAGCCTGAGCTGGGAGGCTGCGGGCTGAGAACGCACTGGTGGCGGACGGTGATGCAAGGGGGGTCGTGGCAAGGGGAGTGGCAGCGGCAGTGGGGGGGAGGGAGGAGGGGGGCGTGGCGAGGGGGGGTTTGGCATGGCGGCTGAAGCGGGTGAGCGCCGTGGCGGGGCGGCCAGGGACGTCCATGCTGCCCGTACCCCCCCGCCGCCTGCTCGCCCTGCTGCCCCTGCTGCCAGTGCCGCTGCCGGTAGTGCTGCTGTCACTGCTGCTGCCAGCGTCACTGGCATGGGCGGTGGCGAGCGGGTGTGTGAGTGCGGCGTGCATGGCGGTGAGCTCCTGCCCGCCGTACGAGTGCCGCCTGCCCGCTGCCTTGCGATGCGCCCTCTGAGGGGGAGAGAGGGATTGAAAGGAAGAAGAGGTGGATGGGAGAGGAGGGTGGATGGGAAAGGATGGTGTACAAGAGAGAAGGGTGAAACGGCAGAAGAGAGTGCAAACGGATTAGCAAGCTGGATTGCAGAGGCGAAGAGATAGTAAAAACATTAGATGGGAAGAGGGGGGGGGCACAAGGGAAGGTGGGCAAGGAATGGGGACATGGCGAGTTAGTAGCATAGCCGGGAGATGAAGGAGGGAGTGAAGAGTGCAAGTGCGATGGCCACTGACCAGAGCTGCCACCGTTGAGGCACGCTGGGTGTTGCTGGCCTCGGCTGATTCAACGCTGACTGCATCAGTGGCGTCAGTGGCGTCAGTGGCGTCAGCAGCGTCAGTGGCGTCAGCGGCGTCAGCGGCGTCAGTGGCGTCAGCGGGAGCATCGGCGGGATCTTCCCGGGCAGCGTGTGGTGCTGGTGACATTTGTGCTGCAGCGTGTGCTGCTGGTGACGTTTGTGCTGCAGCGTGTGCTGCTGGTGCTGGTGGTGGTGGTGGTGGTGGTGGTGGTGCTGGTGCTGGTGGTGCTGGTGCTGGTGGTGCTGGTGCTGGTGGTGGTGGTGCTGGTGGTGGTGGTGGTGGTGGTGGTGGCGGGGCAGTGGGGGCGGCATGGAAGACGGCGAGCTCAGTGCCGCCGTACGACTGCGAGCGGTGAGACGCCTTCCTGCGCTGCTTGGCTCCCGGGGCTGGCTGGAGGGGTGGGAGAGGGAGGAAGACGAGAGGAGAGGAGAGGAGAGAATGCGGGGAGGAGGGGAGTGTGGAGGGGCAGAGAGGAGAGGATAGTGTGGGCGTGTGCAAGGAAGGAGGCGCACACAGAGCAGAGATGACGAGGAGGGGAGAGGAAGTGGAGGTGTAAGGAAGGGAGGGGAAGCAGGGAGGGGTGTTCCGAGGGGAGGGGAAAAAATGGAGTGTGGCGCCGAGGGGAGGGCAGTACATGAGGGGAGGGGGCATGGGTTGCAGCAGCCAGGCGGAAGGCGCGTGTGGCAGACATGGAGGTGGAGGAGGAGGAGGAGGAGGAGGGGGGGGGCGCGGATGGTGCTGGTGACGATAGCGGCGAATGTGATGATGATGATGTCATGTATGCTGACGTGGATGCTGATGAGGCAGATGCTGACGTGGATGCAGAGGTCGCTGACGAGAGAGAGGAGGAGCGCGAGGGCACAGGGGAAGCAGAGGCTGATGGAGGATGGGAGGGAGGTCGTGACGAGGTGGATGAAGACGATGCTGACTTGGCAGACACTGCTAATGTTGCAGGGGGGGTTGACGTGGCAGAGAGAGGTCCAGAATCGCCCACTGCCACGTCACTCTCTCCAGCGTCTCTTATCCGCATCTCCTCACCCACTTCTCCCCCCGGCTCCCTCACGCCCCTCACCCCATCGTATGAGCCTGCTCTGCCTCCTCTGCGGCTCTTCCTCTGCTGCTTTCGCCCGCTCACCTCACCACTGCTCTGCACACCTTCTCCCTCATCTGCTAATGCCTCTACCCTCCCCACATCCCCCCCTCCCGCGTCTCTTTCTGCTACAGCCTGCTCGTGCTGCCATGGCCCGTGGGGAGGGCCATGAGTGTGGCCCTCTGCGTGCGCGCCCCCTGCCGCAGGGGGCAGCGCAGGCAGGGCAGGGAAGTCGGCCTCGCCCAGGAACGACCCCGCGCTGCCTCCTGCTGCCACGGCGGGCGAGGCGCACCCTGACGCCAGAGGGGACGAGGCGAGATGCGAGGGGGGGAGGGGGCGGTGCAGAGCGGTGGAGGGCAGCAGAGGTGAGGAGGTGTTGCGGCGATGACCCCTGGGGGCCGCCAGGCTGGGGGGGGGGGAGAGAGGGGGAGGGGGGTGGGGCAGCATGGACGGATGGGGGGCACAAGAGCAGCGAAGGGGGAGTGAGTGGCAGGTGGACGGGGGCCATGGGGCGGAGAGGCATGGATGCTGGCTTGCCCATGCTGGCAGCCTTTGCACCCAATGCTGACCCACACATGCCTCTCACCCCACACATGCCTCTCACCCCACACATGCCTCTCACCCCACACATGCCTCTCACCCCACACATGCCTCTCACCCCACACATGCCTCTCACCCCACACATGCCTCTCAACCCACACATGCCTCTCACCCCACACATGCCTCTCACCCCACACATGCCTCTCACCCCACACATGCCTCTCACCCCACACATGCCTCTCAACCCACACATGCCTCTCACCCCACACATGCCTCTCACCCCACACATGCCTCTCACCCCACACATGCCTCTCACCCCACACATGCCTCTCACCCCACACATGCCTCTCAACCCACACATGCCTCTCACCCCACACATGCCTCTCACCCCACACATGCCTCTCACCCCACACATGCCTCTCACCCCACACATGCCTCTCACCCCACACATGCCTCTCACCCCACACATGCCTCTCACCCCACACATGCCTCTCACCCCACACATGCCTCTCACCCCACACATGCCTCTCACCCCACACATGCCTCTCACCCCACACATGCCTCTCACCCCACACATGCCTCTCACCCCACACATGCCTCTCACCCCACACATGCCTCTCACCCCACACATGCCTCTCACCCCACACATGCCTCTCACCCCACACATGCCTCTCACCCCACACATGCCTCTCACCCCACACATGCCTCTCACCCCACACATGCCTCTCACCCCACACATGCCTCTCACCCCACACATGCCTCTCACCCCACACATGCCTCTCACCCCACACATGCCTCTCACCCCACACATGCCTCTCACCCCACACATGCCTCTCACCCCACACATGCCTCTCACCCCACACATGCCTCTCACCCCACACATGCCTCTCACCCCACTCATGCCTCTCACCCCACACATGCCTCTCACCCCACACATGCCTCTCACCCCACACATGCCTCTCACCCCACTCATGCCTCTCACCCCACACATGCCTCTCACCCCACACATGGCGCTGACTCACAATGGAGCTGCACCAAACTGCAGCTCTGGCAGCACACGAGCCACACCTGCCGTGCGCACACTCTCTGCCTCCCAGCACTCTGCATTCACCCCTCTCCCCGGACCTGACCAACACTGCCTCGCCCCCGCTCTCACCCCTGCCCTCCTCTTCCCTCACCTCACCACTCTATATTCTCCCAACCCTCCACCCATCGCATCCACTCCCCCTCACCCAACCCAACTGCTTCTCCAATGCTATCATCCACCCCCCATCCCACGCCCACCCTCTCGCTTCAACACCCATCACCCTCATTAAACCACTCCCTCCTCTTGATATGCACCCATGCCCTGCGCCCATGCCCTGCGCCCATGCCCTGCGCCCATGCCCTGCACCCCTCCCCCCCTTGGCGTACATGTGGGCCTCCTCAGCGGCGGCCTCGCGGCTGAGCTTCTTCCCAACGCACTCCACGCTCACCACCAGCACCGCCCCCGCCGGCCTCTCAGCAGCCGCCACGTCAGCCAGCATGGCGGGCCCGGGCGCCACCTTGAGGCGGCGCTCCACCACCCCGTCACAGTCCGCCAGCTCAGCCAGGTCCAGCTGCGCCCGCCCCAGAGGCTCGGGCCCAGCCTGGAAGGCAGGCTCGGATGGTGCATGGGGTGGGTGGCTTGGGTGGGCGGCGGCGGCGGGTAGCGCGTGGTGGAGTGTGAAGGTGGCTGCCTTGCGCAGGTAGGGCGCCGTGGGGGCTCCCCTCTCCCTGTACAGCGTCACTGGGATCTGCACTCAGGAGGGGGGGAAGGGGGGGGGGTCAGGGGGAAGGAGGGGGCGGGAGGGGGGGGGGGGATAGGGGGGGACAATGGGGGAAAGAGGGGGAAAGAGGGGGAAAAGAGGGGGAAAAGAGGGGAAAAAGGGGAAAGAGGGGGGAAAAGGGGGAAAGAGGGGGAAAGAGTGGGGAACGGGAAGAATGGGGGGGAAAGGGGGCGAAAGGTGGGGAATGGTGTGCGGGAATGGGGGGGAGGAAGGTGGGGAAGGAAGAGTGAGGAGAGGGATGAGAAGGGGACGGTTTAGAGAGGGGGAGAAGAATGGGGAGGGGAGTGGGGGAGGGAGAGAGGGAGAATGCGAATGCACTGAGAATTTGAATTTGAATTGGAAGGTGGGGGAGATGGAAGGTGGGGGAGATGGAAGGTGGGGGAGATGGAAGGTGGGGGAGATGGAAGGTGCATGCAGCGTGGGCGAGGGTGGAGAGGGGTTTGTTGCTGAGTGGGGGGCGCATGTGTGACTGCCGAGTGCCACTCGCCCCCACACAGCACCCACACTTGTCCCGCGCCCCCCAGTGTCCCTCCCGCTGCCCCTCCTACCGCCTCAACCACGCCCCGCCATCCCACCACAGCACCACCCCAGAACCCCCATCCTTCCCCTGCTTCCCCCCATGCTCCCTCCCCCCTCCCCCCTCCCCCTTCCCCCAATGGGCGGGTGCACTCACAGCGTACCCGGAAGGTGTGGTGGAGCGGCACAAGGGGGGCGTCAGCGGGGGGCCACACGGGCGCGGAGAGGCCCGCCCGGCTGTCGCCGCGCTGCCAGCGGATGATGAGAGGAGGGGAGGCGCGCAGCCACCCGCGCAGCTGGCGTGCATGGGAGGGCGGTTGGCGGGCGAGGGGCAGGAGGGGGAGAGGGACGGGGAAGGGGGAAGAGGCGGGAAGAGGGGGGTGGAGATCGCTCAGAGTGGGGGGTGCAGGCGTGCGGGGACGAGGGGAGGCACGCAGATAGAAGCAGGGAGCGGAGAAAGCAAGGGACGACGTCGTCAGCGGGATGGAGGAAACGGGACGGGGGAAGCGGGATGGGGGAAACGGGACAGGCGGAGCGGGGCGGGGGGGACTTGGCTGACCTCGACGAGATGAATTTTGAACTCGAATCGCACCGCCACCAGATTCGCCTGCTCGATCTTGCCCGACCCCGATGACGTCAACGTATTCCTGCCGGCCGACGCCATCTCAGCTTCCGGCCGTCAACCTAACGGGTCAGCTGCGGGTCCGTCGGCAGGTCAGGCGAAACGCGATGAGGGCGCGGCGCAGTGTGGGCTGAGCGGCCCATCGGGGCCCGTCCAGGGGGTGCGCGAGGTGGGGACGGCGAGGCATGAGGAGGAACGAGAGGCAAGGGGCTTGAGTGGTGCAGGATTGGTTCGACGCGGCGCTGGTGACGTGCGGGCGCTCGAGCATGGGCAACGCACGCGGGTGAAGGAGGGAGTGGCGACCGCCCTTGACGCGCGGCGGACGGACGTTGGTGCACGAAGCGGGCTGGCGATGCCCGCGTGCTCCGCCAGCGATAATCGGCCCGCGCGGTGATGCGCACACGACGACGACGACGACGATGACGACGACGGCGGCGGCGGCGGCGGCGGCGGCAAGCAATGGTGGGGCGCTACGAGCAAGTGGCGGTAATGTGGGTGCACAGGTGGTAAGGAGGTGCTAGTCGGTAGCGCATCATTCGGAGTTGCGGGGAACGGGTAGCGAGCAAGTAGGAAGGGAGTTGCAACGTGCAGCCTCAAAAGGTGCCGACAAGGCCCAATAAGCTGATGGGTGTGGCAGGGAGAAGGAAGGAGAGCCCTGTGGCCGCCATAAGCTGGCTGCACGGGCTGTTGGCTATCTGCCGCAACACCAAGCATACGCATTTCAGGTGCAGCTTAGCTTACTATGGGTTTTGAAAAAAAAGGTAAAAGCTTTATGGACAAATTCCCAATTTGTTTTCTTAGGTAGTGATTAAAGCATGATTTTTGGTGCTCAGTTATGAATGCAGTACAAATGACACAGAGGCGGTTGTTGGAAACAAGTGATTTATAGCGCTTCTGTCGTATCGAAGCTTCGACACGAAACGGAACTGACTACAGCGAAGAAGCACCCGAGTCAACCGTCGGAGGTTGCGCGAAGGTCAAAGGTCTCCAACCTTTGACCTGACGAAACGTACAGTGCGACAGCAAGGACACATAACTGACTCGTTACAGAGCAGTTACCCGAGTCGGCACTGTATCGAACCGCAACAGCAAAAACAGTTAAGATACGGTAGAACTTTCCATATTCCTTTGTAATCATATAAAAGCCTTGTACTTCTCTACTATTATCAACTTATCTTGTTCTCACAAACTAGCACAAGGTGGTTCACGACAACTCTTCATTAAACGCTTCCGCTATTACAACTCTACGTCAACACCCAATCTAAGTCCTGAAAAAGGTTCTAAGGGCTTTTCTCAGCCCAACATGGTATGAGAGCAAGGCAGGACAAGATCACTCTTTAAATTTTTTTATAATACAATTCATGGCTACAACAAAGTGTTAGAATAAGGAACGGAATGAATGAACTAGGAAGCAGATGGGTAGAAGTAGGAAACCTAAAAGTGTTGTACCCTATATGAACTACCCCACTACAGCCTAGATAGACTATAGCATATAAGTTTGACACACCCCCATAGGCAAAGTGGGGGAGAACAGGAGGTCACAAGACCAGTCAAGAAAAGCAAAGCAAGCCCAGGGTGGATCACAAAGTCACCACGCAGTCTGAGCACAAACAAATGGCCACAAGGCCAGTTCACATGCAGAGTTATATATAGGAGAACAAACAATACAGTGACCACAACCTAGCAAGTGTAAGCATGCAAGTATATGTGTATAGAGTACAGTACAAGCAAAGTCAAGAAGTAAGCAAGTGAGGCACAGTAGGCACAAGGCCTAGAACAGTACAGAAGCGCTGATGATCACAAGGCTGAAGTGCCTTGGTGAAAACATCAGCACTGTTGGCCTGAGAGGCCACGTAAGCAAGACGAAGCTGACCACGCTGCTGCAACTCTCGAGCAAGGAAG